ATAATAATAACAAAAAAAAAAAAAAAAAAAGTGGCATGTTGAAGCTTGATGTTAATTAAGGAATGGCAATTGGTGATTAGTCCAAATAGGAATAAGGAGGAAGCAAAAGATTGTCAACTCCAAATTGGCTGGCTTCCAAAGTTCACACTTCCAACAACAGAACCCCAAAACATTACCAAACTGCAATAAAGTAGGCATTTCCTCTCTTTACATGACAGGCTTTCTTGAAACCAAACTCTCCCCAAGAACAAACCAACCTCACCTTTATATTCCATTCCATTATCTAAGTTTTCTTCAAAACCAAACCATCTTACTTCTAGTTCCAGCCTTATTGAAGATGTCAAAAACAAATAACAACAGGGCTTCAAGACATCACACCCAGCGTTCTGCAACCCCAGGAAAGGCAACATTGCTTGCTCTGGGCAAGGCCTTTCCAAAGCACGTCATTCCCCAAGAATGCTTGGTCGAGGGCTACATTCGCGACACAAATTGTCAAGACCCCTCCATCAAGGAGAAATTGGAACGCCTTTGTAAGCAAAATATGGATCCTAGCTCCATGTGCTAAAATTAACTTGCAATTTTGAGTTCAAAATTTGATATATACAACAAACTTTTTTTTGGAAATTTGTATTCCAAAAGGGAGAATACACAAAACAACATTATACTTGAATTTGCATAAATGGATAGAGGTTGGGAACATCATGTATTAATTAATTCCTTCTTGATTTTTCCTTGTACAGGTAAAACAACTACTGTGAAAACAAGGTACACTGTCATGTCCAAGGAGATTCTCGACGCCCATCCTGAACTGGCCACGGAAGGCACAGCGACGATCAAACAAAGACTTGAATTAACAAATCCAGCCGTCGTCCAGATGGCGGTGGAAGCCAGCCTTGCTTCTATAAAGGAATGGGGAAGGTCTGCCACAGATATCACCCACATCGTCTATGTTTCCTCCAGCGAAATCCGCTTACCTGGGGGTGATCTCTACGTCGCCACTCAACTCGGCCTCAGAAACGACGTCAACCGTATCATGCTTTACTTCCTCGGCTGCTACGGCGGTGTCACCGGACTCCGAGTGGCGAAAGACATCGCCGAAAACAATCCGGGCAGCAGAGTGCTTCTAACAACTTCCGAAACTACACTCCTTGGATTCCGCCCTCCCAACAAATCCCGCCCCTATGACCTTGTCGGAGCGGCACTCTTTGGCGACGGTGCAGCTGCTGCAATAATCGGAGCAGACCCAGTATGTCCAGAGTGTCCTTTCATGGAACTAAACTATGCAATACAGCAGTTCCTCCCTGGAACCCACAATGTCATCGATGGATACCTCTCCGAAGAGGGAATAAACTTCAAACTCGGGCGAGACCTTCCTCAGAAAATAGGAGACAACATCGAGGAATTCTGCAAGAAACTAATGATGAAGACTGATGTCAAGGAATACAACGACCTATTCTGGGCCGTGCACCCTGGAGGACCGGCGATACTTAACCGTATGGAGAGCGTTCTGAAGCTGAATGAGGAGAAGCTGGAGTGTAGCCGGAGGGCACTGATGGATTACGGGAATGTGAGCAGCAACACTATCTTCTATGTTATGGAGTATATGAGGGAAGAGCTGAAGAAGAAAGGGGGAGGGGAAGAATGGGGACTGGCTTTAGCATTTGGTCCTGGGATTACATTTGAAGGCATCCTTCTTCGTAGCCTGTGATCATATCTCTGTTGTGGGGTTTAATTTGCATTTAAGAAGGTTTTATATGCTTTTGAACTTTTCTCAAAAAAAAAAGAAGGTTTTATATGCTAGCTTCTTAATTATTTTAATTTCTTATAGAAAGTTGTTGGAGTATGTTATATATATGGTGATAAATAACAAAAATAAATTATTTTTTTCATTATCAAATGTATCTTATTATACAAAATTGGAGTTTGTAAAAGTTGGAGTATGTATGTATGTATGTATATATATATATGAGATGGATAATGATTTATACATAATTTAGTTTAACATACACTATATAATATATTTATTAAAAAATTATTTTTTATATAAAATTAAAAATAATCAAATTTA